CCATACCGGTGTCTGAATACCATCTTCCAATATATCAATCTTTACCTCTCGACCATTTTGAGACTCCTCGTCTTGTCCGTGATCTCATCTGGGACTCCGAAAAAACTTCAGTCACCAAAACACATAACTCATAATACAAATCGTCATCGAACGTTAAGTGTGCGGACCCTGCGGGTTCGAGAACTATGTAGAAATGACTGAGAGACATCTCCGATCAATAACCAATAGCGGAACCTAGATGCTCATATTGGTTCCTACATATTCTACGAAGATCTTATCGGTCAAGCCGCAATAACAACATACGTTATTCCCTTTGTCATCGGTATGTTACTTGCCCGAGATTTGGTCATCGGTATCATCATACCTAGTTCAATCTCATTTCCGGGAAGTCTCTTTACTCGTTCCATAATGCATCATCCTGTAACTAACTCATTAGTCACAGTGCTTGCAGGGCTTATAGTGATGTGCATTACCGAGAGGGCCCAGAGATACCTCCCCGATACTCGGAGTGACAAATCCTAATCTTCATCCATGCCAACCCAACAAACACCTTTGGAGACACCTGTAGAGCATCTTTATAATCACCCAGTTATGTTGTGACGTTTGATAGCACACAAAGTGTTCCTCCAGTATTCAGGAGTTGCATAATCTCATAGTCAGAGGAATATGTATAAGTCATGAAGAAAGCAATAGCAATAAAACTGAACGATCATTATGCTAAGCTAACGGATGGGTCTTGTCAATCACATCATTCTCTAATGATGTGATCACGTTCATCAAATGACAACACATGTCTATGGTCAGGAAACTTAACCATCTTTGATTAATGAGCTAGTCAAGTAGAGGCATACTACGGACACTTTGTTTTGTCTATGTATCCACACATGTATCAAGTATCCGGTTAATACAATTCTAGCATGAATAATAAACATTTATCATGATATAAGGAAATATAAAATAACAATCTTTATTATTGCCTCTAGGGCATATATCCTTCACTTGGTCCTCTTCCCCCAAAATGAAGGCGGGAAGGGATTCCACAACGACCAAGTTTGAAGAGAGACAACTAGTACACCTTATCCCAACGAAAGGTGGTCTTCGCCTGCAAAGCTTCTGGTCGTGACGTCGTGGTGGGCTCGGTGATGACCTCCGTCCTGCCGTCCTGGCGATCTCGGTCTTGTAGCACGACAATGGAAACCTTTGCTTGATTCCTCGGGACTCCGCGCCTGCGCTTGCCTCTTTAGCATCAAAGAGGAAACCTGATGTACTACGCCCGCTGGCGCCCGCCTGGCCTTGGTCGTCATGGCTTGCATCATCCGAACCTCGCGAGGTGGGTGCCTGCACAGAAGTCTCCGCCCCTCAGGAGCCAGCCTAGGGAGGCTGCTCCCTCTGGAGGTCTTGATGTCGTCCGCCTCGCGAGGCTTGGCCCGTCGCGAGGGTCTTGCGTTGTTGATGCTGAAGGTGGGTCGTATCAGGCCGCTGATGGAGCCATGCCGTGGGCCGCAGGTAGGCAAGTCTGGATACCTCGGTTCCCAGAACGCCGACATCGACCCCCCGACGGAGCTGCCCGCGCCGGAGGACAGACGCGCGTGCCTGTGGTCGTACTCCTCTGTCCCGCGGCGGAGGAGCGACGGCGGCGGCTATAGGCCACGGTTCGTGTACTTCCGGGCGGCTCGCTTCCTCGTGTCGTCGGCTTTGACGCACCGCTGCCGCTCGGGGTCGTCGCTACCGCCGGAGCGGTGGCCCGAGCTCCACATCCCACGCCACATGGTGGACTGCGGTGGCGGATTCGAGTCACTGACGATGAGGAACCGAGAGGGAAGAGGGGAGAGGGGGGATTGCGGCGGTGCACGGATAGGGTTTCGACCCGTATTTCAGCCGCAAACCTATAGATATACTGCGTGGAAGGGGGTGGTTTGCGGGTCACCGTAAAAACATTTAAGGGCCGGGCGACTATACGGGCTCTGGTCTGGCCAAAAAAAAGACCAAATCCGTATAGTCGCCGGATTTTTACATTTACGTGTTTTTAAGGAGTCTGTTAGAGATGCTCCAACTCTGCAAACGCATGGATTGTCAGGTTTAGTTGGTTTGGTCAAACTGACGTCCCACTCCGACGTAGAGTAGAGTAGAGACGTACAATGCTTAATCAAACAGAAGTGCCATGGCACATGGATCACGCCATGTATTGCAGACGGAATAATTATACTAGCAAGCAATCACGGCCTAAACGCTAACCACCTGTTTCGTTGCAAGGTTACAACTAACTAAGGAAACCCAGTGTCACCATGATGATGAGATAACTAATGCAAGCAGATCTTTCTTTAGATTTTTTTGCCCTTCTGATCGTATGTATGCAAAACCATATATAGTACAGTACATCTAGTATAGGACTATAGGTACATGACCCTTCAACAGAATCGCTTGAGCAAGAAGCGAGATGTCGTTTTCAAACAGGGGAGAGTTGGGTTCCGGGCCAACCCGGACGCCGGTTGGTCGAACTGGATTATTAGATTATACAGGTGCTGGCTGGTCCAAGGAGGAGACAAGTTACACGGACTAGATTTATTAGCTTGCCTCCTGCAGATCGAAGCTTCGTGCTGACCTGGTTGGTGCGCATCCATCTCCGATGAAACCGAAGCCACCATGGATTCCTATCGACCACCGTCGCCACGGCAGCAAGTTGGCCGGGCTCAAGTCGCACGCCATTCTGTCGCTCCTTGGCCTCACTTGAGCTGTTGAGCATGCAGCTAGACTCCGGAAGAAACTGACTCATGGTGCTGCCTAATTTTATGTGACCTTTCTTCTTGGACAGGGGATGGCGATGGGTAGAGTGCTACTATCACAGTGTCCCCTTTCCGTTCTGCACCCAGAAAGAATCCTCTAGCTGGTATTTCTGCTAAAATCTCCTAGGAGTAGATTGGCTGTTCTAATAATTAAGCACTGTCCTCGTAAGTAATGCATGCAGTTTATTCATTTGTTGTGACGGGTAGATTGGTTGTGACTTCTTTTTTTCAACACAGTACATAGATGTTCATACATGCACATATACACTCACTTTATTAACGTACGTACGTACACCCTACTCATATAAGGACGCACATCACCGAAAGGCCTGAAATAAATTCAGAAAAATGCAAACACATGTATTAGTCTAGGATTTGAACCCTAATACTGGGATACCATTTATCTTTCTAACCATCCAACCGTAGTTTGATTCGCAGATTGTCTGTGACCTATGACTCGTGCTGGCAAGTACTAGCAACTACACCATTGATATTACTGCTCCATCACAAAAAGTAAGCAAAATAACCAACACGAACCGTTGTATTAATTAATAACTAGCTAGGCAACATGATCATTGAGGAATGGACAAGCAAGTTCCTCTCAAGCAAAGCATACGGTCCAGTGGCTTCGGTGTGGACAAGACAGGGGCTATGCACACCGTTTCCATGTGTTTCCATGGTGTTGCTAATAGTACTACTAGTACTACTCAAAGACTATTGTTAGAACTTGAGCGTCAAGAGTAAGGATCACTGTACATAAAGCAAGGTTGGCATAGACTGTGCTTTGCAGCAATGGTGCTTGGAAGTAGAAGCATGGCAATTATGAGTGTCACTACTAGATGCTAAGTACCCAGGCCTCCATCACGGTAGGGCCAGCACTCTGCCAAACTCTGTCCGTAGAAGTCCATATTCTCCCTGTCCAGTATTTCCCAGCATTAATTGGTTGACCTCAACATCTTTCTGTCTTCGTTTCTTTATCTTCAGTCTTCGTTCATGATGTTACTCTACTACTAGAGATGGAATTAGCTAAGCTAGCACCCATGTCTCCGGACACAATGCTTCTGGTCTGAAAATCTTCAACGTGCAGGACGATCATGATCTCGTCAACTTGGTAGGTGCATTTAACCAAATCGCATACGCACAGGAGACAGCCCATCAAGCTCAGCACAGCTATATACGTACACGTATTAGTTTGCTACTCGTCCTTATTTTACATTATGAACAATGCAATGCGAAACCCAAACCAACAAGCAGGGGAGAGGCCCCGGTTCATCAGACGCGGGCAGGAAGACGCGCTTGTGATTATTCTAGGGCTACTAGCTAGCCGGCCAACTAATGCTGTGCAACAACAGTAGTAGTGCTATAACGGAGACTTGGATTCTGTTCCAAGCTAGCTACCGATCTCACGAGTAATGGAGGAGCACGCAGCGGCCGGCCGGGCGGAGCGCGAAATGGTCGCACGTCGCCTTCGGTCGGAGCTGAGACAAAAAGTACGCATACATACATCTATCCAGCCCGACCCAACTCGATCATCACCACACACCACACACCACACCGGTAGTCGCCAACCAAATCACCCATTCTCGACTCTATTTCTTTCTACTGTAGTTTTCCCCCCCTCTCTTTTCTCCTAGTACCATAAACCCTTTCCCTGATACTTACGCTTGGAAGCCTCGCGTACACACGCTGCAGCCAGCCAATTCCCGTTCTCCAGAATCTTCAAAAAGAATTACATCATTGTCCAAAATCTTCATGATCGTCAGGAACGTTCCAAAGAATTTATTGTTAGGTTGTGTAGTACTCCTGCGACGATTTTGTCCCAAAGTTGAGTGCGTTCACAAGAGAACGGTACGTCGCACGGCACGGAGAAAAACAAGTCGAAGCGGGCGTGACGGTGCAGCGCGTCAAGTACGAGTCAACGCGCCAACGACCTCACTTTCACGGGGACGGGGGAGAGGAGCAGCTCGGTTTCAAACCCAACCCGCCATTTCTTGGCTTCTTCTTCTCTGCTTGCCCGGCCAACCTAAACCCCCTCCACACTTTTTTATAACCTATGACCGACCTCAAAGTTTACCAGGAAGCATTCGCTCCCATCCCACCCCACCGTTTTAATACCACCCTCCGTCCCAACCATCCCTCCTCCCACCGCGCCATTAGCAGAGCTTAACCCATTGCCGATCGAGCAGGCAGATATCGTGTGTGCATAGCGAGAGCGGCATGGGGAACCTGATCTCGGCGGGCGCGGCGGCGGGCGCGAGCGGAGGGAAGGTGGTGATGGCGGACGGGAGCGTGCGGGCGCTCAGCGAGCCCGTGTCCGTGGCGGAGCTCATGATGGACCACCCGCGCCACTTCGTCGTCGACGCGCGCCTGCTGCAGCAGCGGAAGGGCGCCGCAGCCGGCGGGGCCAGCAAGGTCGCGCCGCTGCCGGCCGACCACGTGCTGGGCGCGGGCGGCGTCTACGTCCTGCTGCCGGCCACCCGCGGCAAGGTGTCCGCCAAGGAGGCGCGGCGCGTGCTCACGGCGTCGCGGTCGCTGGCGCGCTCCAGGTCAATGCCGGGCGGGCTGCGGAGGAAGCTCTCGTCCAGGAAGAGCCGGGAAGCCGACGACGCCGATAGGTCGGCAAAGAACGAGGCGGCGGCGGCGGCTGTGGCAGAAATGGAGAGGAGGGAGGAGGCGGCGGCGACGGCGGACGGGTTCGAGGAGCACCGGCCGGAGTTCTTGAGCCGGGAGCTGTCGTGCCGGGGGTGGAAGCCGAGCCTGAACACCATCGAAGAGCGTGTCATTCCCAAGAAGGTGTCCCATTGGCTCTTCTGAATTTCTTTCCGATGGATGACCAGACAAGGTGAGCCGACTAGTAGGCTTCTTTGACTTGTCATCAGGATCTAGTCTCTTCTTCCTTGCTTCCTTTTCTTTTTCTTCGTTCAAATGCTTGTTCTGTCAACTGCATGTGTTTGCATGTGATGAGATAGTGCAAGTGAAATTAAGCCCCCGTGTAACTATAAGATTGATTAGTTGGATGGTTGAGCGCTGTGGATCAATATGGAAATTAATCGAATTGCAATGAAATCGTAATCTCAGGTCATGGTTCCTGAATTGTGATTCTCCGGCCTTATTCAATAAATTGCTACAGATTGAAACAAAAAAAAGCTACGGATACACTAAATTAGATAAAATGACACTAAGAGGGGAGTCAACGTGCCATTTCTGGTGCCATGCGAACGATCGAGTGAGTAACAAAAGTATTTCTCCTGACCCACATGTAAGCGACATAGGCGGCGAGGGGTAAAAATATCCAAATAACGTTTCGGAGACAAAAAAAATATGGTACGCAATTTGCGTACTCTCAAAAAAGAAAAGTTTCAAAGACAGTCAAACTCCTTTGCTTGGACGAAAACAACATAGAGAGGAGTATTTTCATAAGCGCACTAGACAGAAGAGAGGCAAAATTGAACACATGATATTTTTAGAGGCAAAGATGAGAGTGGGCGCAAATTAGGGAAAGAATGGAATTGTCCCTAAAGATTTTCAGCATGCAAATTTCATCATAAGTGTTGCTAGTGCGTTATCCAAACAGAATGATGAGTTGCTAGCAAATCAGCTGAAATTGCATGCGATGTTGAATTGGGTGAGCTTGATACAGGGAAAGGGGCAAATTAAATAGGCTCATTACAGAGGTCTGGGCACACAAGATGGAGTTCTCATTTCAAGTCAATTAATAACTTGAGGAAGGTGTTTCGTGCTACGATTGCATTTCTAGGGAGTATAGCAAATGAGCATTCAGTCACACTGATATTCTCGTGGAGACGAAGTGGGCTCCTTAAACATGAATATCTCTTTTGATTTTGTATTCATTCTGCACCTCATGGAGAAAATTATGGAGATCACAGATGCCTTGTGTCAAATGCTCCAAAGGAAGTCTTTGGACAGTTTAAACACATTAGATTGTGTTTGAAACACAAAGTTGCTACTTGGTGAACTAGAGAAGATTAAATCTTTTTCCTAAAACGTGATATTGATATCCATAATCTTAGTTCTGAGTATGTCTCTTTTCCTATAATCAGATTGGAACGTTAATTATGACAATTATTTTACTCCAATATATGTTGCAATTTGTGGGTACGTTGATATGACTAAGTCTCGAAACTAGCACGACAACAGCACAACACCACACCACTATAAAACAGATGCATTCAACGTTGCTATAGATTAGCAATTGATTGAGCTAAATGAACGGTTTGACATTCAATGCATTGAGCTTTTGAGATTTTTTGTATCCCGAGATTCTTGTCATGATACATTTGGTGTGTCAAATATATGCAATCCAGTAGAGAAGTTTTATCCGCCGATTTTCTCACTAAGACGTGGCTCTGCTAAAGTCTCAACTTCTCTATTTCATATTGGAAGTTCACTCACATCGAGATCTAAAATGCTTGCATTCACCTTCTTATCCTATATATTCAAGAGAGTGACGGGATAAGGCCCACCTCGACATGCAACCATGCATGAGAAAAGACCCACCACCACACGCAACCATGCATCGGAAATTATTTTTCATTCTATTATTCTACTTATATTCAATAAATATTTTACATCTATATACATAATCAAACATAATAAGTTGTATGTATTTCCAATTTTGGTTCATGTCCGAGGCCCATTCCACACAATTAAATCTTATTGAAATATATAGCAACAAATTCCCGCAACAATGCATGAGGTATCATCTAGTTTGACTATTGGCTTGTTCAAAACTGGTGAAGTTAGGACTATTCAATGGTTGATAGACTATTATGGTTGATTATTATTACTCCTCTAGTCTCAACAATAACCAATGAGCGAGCATTTTCAGCTATAAAACTAGTGAAGACATGTCTTCAAAACAATCCGAGTGATGATTTTCTCTTTGACATTACATGGTCGTCTACATTCGAAAAGAAATAGCTACAACGGCGACACTTCTCATCACCAAGATGGCAGCCTGAGGGAAGGACCGAAAGTATCTAATTTTCTAAATAAATTGAAAAGACAATAGTCATACCTCAATTTTTTGAAGAAAAAATACATTAAAAAGACCTGCGCTACTGACTTTTTTTAGGGGAAACATGCTTGACTTTATTGCTCAATTGAAAGGTTTACATGAATGATAGAACTATCGAAGGGATGTAAAAGCCACATGTGGCGTCCTTCATCTAGGTGTAAAGCATGTCTAGCTAAGTGATGTACCTCCATATTTGACAGGCGGCCTTCATAGACAAAGGAGCAAGACTAAAACTCCCCAGATGTCTCATTAATCTCCTTTATAGCTGGTGTTATGATCCCAAGGGTGCCTATGTTAATATCCTTCATTACCATACTGCAATCTGAGGCCACTCTTAGATGTTCAATCATCAAGTCTTTCACCAAAGCTTGGCATGCCAGGGCTTCTAGTGTAGTTGGATTCATCGGTCCATGAAAGACCATCATTGAGGAGCCTAGATAAGCCCCTTGTCCGTCACGACACACAACGCTGATCGGCCCAACTTGCTGTTCTTGCATACCGTAACATCAACATGTGTCTTGTTACAACCCTGTGGTGTTAGGATCCATGCCCATACCAGCGCATGTGCATGATGTCGGTGCTGGTGTCGGTGTCCAAACCGGCGGATCTCAGGTAGGGGGTCCCTAACTGTGCGTCTAGGATCAATGGTAACAGGAGACGGGGGACACGATGTTTACCCAGGTTCGGGCCCACTCTATGGAGGTAATACCCTAAGTCCTGCTTGATTGATCTTGATGAATATGAGTGTTACAAGAGTTGATCTACCACGAGATCGTAATGGCTAAACCCTAGAAGTCTAACCTGTATGACTATGGTAATGAATATATCCTTTTCGGACTAACCCCTCCGGTTTATATAGACACGGGGGAGGGGGGGGTCCAGGGTTTACATAGCGTCGGTTACATAAGAAGGAATCTTCGTAATCGGTTACCAAGCTTGCCTTCCACGCCAAGGAGAGTCCAATCTGGACACAGCTACAGTCTTCGGCCTTCGTGTCTTCATAGCCCATCAGTCCGGCCCATGGATAACAGGCCAGACGCTCGAGGACCCCTTAGTCCAGGACTCCCTCAGTAGCCCCTGAACCTGGCTTCAATGACGAGGAGTCCGGCGAGTAGATTGTCTTCGGCATTGCAAGGCGGGTTCCCTTCTATTCGAACTTCAAGATAGTCTTCAGATGCGATGATAGTATCTGGACCTGTCACACACACCATACATAACCGCAGAGAGAATATATATATTTTTACACGAGTCTAATATGCTGATGACCTCACGTCTATCCGGTCATAATTTCGAACCGTTTTTCGTCTGCCGCTCCACGTTTCGAGACGCGGTTGCCATTGGCACGTCTTGACGAAGCAGAGATCGTGTCCCCTTATTACGGGATTCTCATCAATACGGGCGTGGGCGACCCAACCGTGCCGTTTGCACGGCCCTTGGGAATAGACGAGTTTAAGGCGAGTGGGGAGACGCTTGATATTCATGGCCTTTATAAGGGGATAAGGATTCCCTTTCTCTATCCACACCCCTGCTCCTCCTCAATCCTTCCGTCCCTGAGCTCCAGCGCCCAAGCTTTTAGCTTTTCCCTCGTCCGAGAAAGCACTCCAAAGATGTCCGGATCCGGAGCTGGGGGCAAGTGGATGGCCTCCTCCGTCAAGAAGAGGGATATCAAGGCACTCCAGGAGGCCGGATATCTGGCCAAGGAGATCGCTCACCGACTCCCAGCCAAAGGACAGATCGTCCCTACTCCAGAGCCCCACGAGAGGGTTGTGTTCCTCACACATTTCGTCCGTGGGCTGGGCTTCCCTCTTCACCCCTTCGTCCGTGGACTGATGTTTTACTACGAGCTAGACTTCCATGACCTAGCCCCCAACTTCATCCTCAACATCATGGCATTCATTGTCGTGTGCGAGGCCTTTCTCCGCATCCCGCCTCATTTTGGCCTATGACTGAATACCTTCAATGTGAAGCCGAAGGTGGTGAGCGGTCAACAAGCAGAGTGCGGAGGCGCCATGGTGGGCAAGATGCCCAATGTTACATGGCCCGAAGGCTCATTTGCAAAGATGGTGAAAGGGTGGCAATCGGGGTGGTTCTATATCACCGAGCCGTGTGATGCCAACTGGGTAGCGGCCCCCGAATTCCGATCCGGAATCCTGATGCGGCTGACCTCCTGGCAAGAGAGGGGCTTAACCTGGGGTCCCTCAGACGAGCTGACTGGGCTCCAGACGTGCGTCCAAAGTAGGATAGATAGGAGGATCAAGCTTGTCAACGTGGTCCAGGTCATGCTCATTCGTCGGGTCCTTCCGTGCCAACGCCGGACTTGCTATATGTGCGAGTACGATCCGGCCAAGAACCAGACGCTACTATAGCTCTTCGGCACGACACACGAAGAAATCTGGAAAGTGCTCTTCAAGGTCGGCGAGATGCCACCGCCCACGACCGAAGATCGCGTGCCTAGCTTAAAACGCCAGGCTAACCCGGTAAGCTCTTTTAATGTTTTCAAGGCATACCCTTTACTAGCATATTTTGAGAAAAATCCTAAGCTTTCCTACCCGTGTTTTCAGGCCTAGATCAAGATAGCGAAGGGGATTAATTGTCTGGCTCCGCTGCCCGAAGACCAAGAATTCCCATTATTGACGAAAATGCTTTTTCCAGCACCTTATGAGGTGCCAGAGAAGATGGCCAAGAAAGCGGTCAAAGGGGCCAAGAAGGGCCCACGCCAAAAAGGTGCTCCAGACGTGATGTCCGAATTCGAGATTTCCTCTTCGTCCACTGACGA